CTATCTTTCATATTCTGGTACAACCAGACATTCTATTTCAAAGCAAAACTACTTTCATTTTAACTCTTAAACAAAAAATGCACAAAACTTACTACTCGTTATCCTGCTTTTCCCCTTGAACTCCATACCATGTTAAAACTTTCAATTCCATCCTCAAAATGATATACCACCCAAAATGCCATAGTTTAATAACTGCAATTTTTAACTACCATATAATATTAATACTTTTATCAGACATTTTAAAGCTAAAAAAATAGCATATAATTCACTTTTTGTACTAATTTACAAGGAGATCCACACATCTATGTGAGGAATTTGATCCAAATATCCCAGGAGGCCATATGCTATGGCTCGAACTCCAATTGTGGGGCCCATTTCCAGGGTCCCCTCTATCAGCCACTCGACATAAAAAGTGGGCCACTCTAGTTCACAGAACTTCCTTAGAGTGAAAGCATCTACTTGGATGCCATATCCGGCAGCCCTGGAAGAGAACTCTGAAAAGTTAGTTACCAAACACTCCAAAGGGGACAGTCTTTCCACCCTTGATTGTCCCGTTCCCATTTTCGCTTGTGCCTGTTTTGCTAGCGCTGTTTGTTCCAGAACTGAGTAGAGAAAGAAAAGAGCCACACAAATCCACAGAAATAGAAAGACACTGTCGACAGAAAGACCATTGACAAACACAAATTCACAAAATAGCAAGAAACATTGTTGACAACAAAGACCACGACAAAAACCTGAGTCCGAAGAAGGGCCTCTCCCAACCAGCGGACAAAGAACATGGTTTACGACAAAGACCATGACAAAACCTCAGTCCGAAGAAGGGACTCTCCCAATCAGCAGACAAACAAACACTGTTGTTGACAAAAACCATGGCAGAACCTGAGTCCGGACTGACAGACATGGTTCGAGGGGTGGGTTTCTCTCACCTCCTACCCATCGAATGTCTGAGGCATGGGCCTCTTTCCCCTGGGCTTCTGAACTTGCGGGTCACCAGACTGGCACAAGCTAAATCCGAACTTGCGGGTCAAACCTGGGCTCTTGCATGCCAGTGGCATCCACCTGAGAACCCAGACTTCCACACAAGTTAATTCCAGGCGAGTCCCCACTTCCTCAGACACCTAGAACTTGGCAGTCGTCACTGCCGCAGTCTTGGACTGGAAGTTATGCGGCGTCCTGCCTTCCAACTATCCAATTCAAAACCTGGGTGCACCAAACAGAATACAGATTAACCAGTTATCAGGCCTGACTTACCACGTAGGAAGAATCCTACAGCGAAGCCACAGTTACTTCGTTGGCCAGCAATCAGGGTTTGGATGAATTTAGGGAGATCTCGCTGGGGCCTCCAAATGTAACAGAGCGAGTCCCCAAAAAGATCACCGAGCCAATTAGCTGAATTAACAAAGTTTATTTCGAGTTCCAACCCGGGCTCACGCGTGCTGACACAGTAGCATCCAGCTGAGAGCCCCGAATTGATGTCTGCCCCTCCTTTTATACCTCTGCTACTCCCCTGCCCAACCATACACACCATGAATGACCATCCACAGTAGTTGGGGTATTTGTCCACCTTCAATTGGCTAGCCATAGCTCGGGGAAACAGTTTGGAAACCTACTTGAATCTTATCGGTTATTTTAGATTCAGGAATGTGGAAAAATCCCTTGTGCCCTTACAAAGAAGAAGAATTCCACTTTATGGCAGTTGATCAATCAGGGTGGGATTTACCACAGGTGGGGGTTGTTTGTTTGTTAAAAACCACTCAGGCGGGTGGAGTGGGGTTAACTGTACTTTACCAGAAACTGAGTTTCTGATAACTGGTTCTTTCATGGGAGAGATGAGAAGGTGTCTATCTCCAAACAGCATGGTCTGCAAGAGAAAGGATCTGTTGGACTTTGAGAAGTCTCAGTAATAAACAGACATGAAAGAGAAAGAGTAGCCAGAAGATTAGGTGCTGAACTAGGCCCTGAATTCCAAATAGGGTTTGGAGCTAAGGAATGACATGAATCCCATGGGGCAATGAGGAAGTTCTCAAAGTCCTAACCCTTCAAAGCTGCCAGTTTTCTTGATCAAAAGGCAGAAATGTTCTATTCTTCTTCCCAGAGCCTTAGGATGGGCAAGCTTGTCTTCCTAAATCCAGTGGGCACACTTTGCTCTCTGTGTCATAGCACAGGAAGCAGAGCTGAACAGTTCACCTGCGCATAGAACTTGGGAGGCTTGGGTGTCCCATTGAGAGTGTTCTGCCTTAGCCCTGCAGAAGGGCTAGCCTTAGAGATATGACAGATAAGAAAGAGCTGGTTGACTCCTTGCATATGAGTTGTGGATTAAAGTAGGGAAAAGAAAAGTATTCAAAACATGTTTATGTTCTAGGTTGACCTCAATAAAGATTAAAAGAGCAACAAAACAAAAAAGAACAAAATCTCACTGCCTTCAAGAAAGAACTCACTCATACTTGATCCTTCCCTGGGTTTTCAGAGGGTAGAAATTGCATTGTAGGCTACTGTTCATCTTTCTTCTTTGGGGAATTTGGTGGATTCGAACTGCTGACAGTCGGTGTGGCAGAAAACTCCTTACCCAATAGATCTTCAGAGCTCCCTCAACCAGAATTGCTGTCTACTAAAAAGGCAAATTAATAATGAAGACACAATAATTTCCTTGCAGTTAAGACAAATTTATTAAGGTTCTTGCTGTTAAGAGTAGTTGATCAATCATAGAGTGGCTCAGGGTGATTCATCCAGTTGGAGGCTTTTTATTGTTTTCTTTATCCAGGGTAAGAAACTGGAGATATTGGTGAAGATACATGGGGAAGTTTCATTTGCAACTATAGTGGTACAAATGCCCTGGACCACATTTCTGCATACCAAGGGGCCTCCAGAGTCTCCCTGGGAACACACAAAGGAAAGGCTTAGTTACTTGTTCTGCTGGCCCTGCCTCCCTCTACATTCTGGGAGAAAACTGCCCCGATGAGGTAAAAAGAGAGGGGTTATAGGCCTCTCTGGGGACCCCCAGGATGCCAAATTTTTATGCTTGACATCATTATTGTTTCATGCCTAGGTTGTGATCTATAACTTCAGGAATCTTGCCTTCTACGCTGTGGAACTTTGCTTCCAGGCTACTGTTTAAAGGAATGTGGAAGGTAAAGGGAAGACAGTACATTGACCAGGGTGATGACAGCTCTTGAGTATTTATATAGTCTCGATTATTCAACGTGGATGGAGAGCTTTTCCTTGTATGTGTGCTCTAGGTTGGTGGGGCAATCCTCTCTACTTCCCCCACAATAAAGACAGAAAAAAATTCAAACAAGTTCTGGACAAGTCAGTTCATAATAATCCTGTTACACAGTTGAACTGCTCATTGGATTATCTTCTCTATAATGTTTATGGAACATCTTTGAGAATGTTCAAACCACAAATCTTTACGGTCAATGCAAAATCTTTGTGCTTTAGGGATGTTTGAGGTTGCATGTTATTGTTGTTGATTTGCTGTCAAATATGAACTGACCCATAACTGATCCTCCAGTGAGATCTTAGAGATGATTAATTGCACAAGAGTAGATTGTCCGCCTTTCTCCTGAGGAGCACCTTTGGAATTACAGTGACGTTTCTTACCACTAGGCCACTTATCCCTTTGGGATGGAATAAGGAGTCACAAATTCATCTTTCTGGAGGAACACATTTCCATCTTACCCCTGGGAATCTCACCGAGGCCTGAGTGACTAGGTAGTTTGGTACTTTTGTTATCACAGAAAAGTGGATGAAGGCATTCCCCCTATTGCTAGCAAGGATCTTTACATCCCAGGACTTTCTGAAATATCCTGCTTTCCAGAGCAAGGCCAGTACTAAGCCTCACCTCAGAGAAACACATCTTTTTCTGAGGGTCTCCCGCACACAACTCAGTGGTCTTGTCATAATAGGGCACGCGGCTGTCACACTGGAAGTGCTCCTGAATGACAAGATCCACCTCATACAGCTTGCTTGTTGGTTCATTGTCAGAGATATTGCCCCATCCAGCCACACTGCACACCTGCCCAGGCCTCACATGGTCACTTTCTCCAGGCAGGCGGATTAGGCCCACAGCTGCAGTCAGTTGGGCCTTTGTGTCCAGCTGATGAAGGAAACAACAAAGACTTGATCATTGAGAGCCTGCTGCTCTGCAGAGCCTGATGGGTTGCACTTGATCCCTTTTCCTCCCAGGACCTCGGATTAATGAAGCAGCCAGGATGAGGAAGGCAGGGGTCATGGTGGAAGAAGAAAGTTCTTGAACCCAAGGGCGCAGGAGCAGCAGGGTGTGCCTCACCTGTAGTATCATGATGTCATTATTATCAGTCTTATTGTTATAATTAGGGTGGGGGATGGCTTTTTTCACACGAATTTTCTGCCATGTCTTTTCTTGCAACTCATTGTCATGGACCCCCAAGAAGACATTCATGCGTCTGTACAGAGAGAAAAGAAGAAGTTCTCACAAATGGAGCCCTAGAGCAGGTGACAGCTGGGTGAGGGTAGGGAGGCTGCTGCTGAGGGAAATGCTGGAGGGAGGGGCCCTTCATTTGAGCTTGCTGAACCTTTGGTTTCCCAGCAGCATTGTAGGTCATTGTGGAACTCTCTTTTGGCCTCAGGTCATATGAAATGGCTTGACCATCCCTGCTCTCAACCTCCACTGTGTGCCTGAAATAGCCAGTGTGGTCCTTCCTTGACCTCTTCTACTTGCCCCATTCTCTGACGTCCTGGGTTATGAGTTGACTCACTTTTCACCACCTCATTTCACTCTGAAATTGTTCTGATGATGAGAACTTTGGAGCCTGAGTTACACCCAGATTAAGTAGTGCCCCCGTGTGGTAGGAATGTGAAAAGTCTTTGGAGGTTCTACCCCTCACCTTCCCCAGCAGTGAGCTGCTGTCAGGACAATATCTTCCTCCACAAGGAAACCACCACACAGTCCCATCTTGCCATCACGAAGTGACACAACAAGCGCCATGTACGGACGTGAATGAGGCTGTGCTTCATGACCTCCAATGATCTCCTCTGGGGGGAAAAAATGGAAGACGGGAGGAGCAGGCATCCTACGTGATGATTGAAGACAAGATCAGCTTTGCACTGTAGTTGTTGGGATAAGTTGTCTTGGACTCTCCCAAAAGCAATCCTTATTGGCTTGATAACATGCCCTTCCCTTCAAGTCCAATGGGCCCTCCTAAAAGCTGATAGTGCTTGTTCTGTACATTTCTTATTAGGCACATGGATTATGGGGTCTGAGCTTGTCTTCAAATTACCAGAACCCAAGGAATCAAGGAGAAGAATCCCTGCTTTTAGGATTTAGCCCAGGTCAGTTCCTACAAGCCTGAGTCACTCCCTCGCTTGGCTATTCCTGTCCTGTTATTCCAACAAAGCAAATGAAGCTTCTCCCTATTGTTAGAAAGAGCCTTCACATCCTAGAAATGTCAAACATCCTTGTCCCCAGAGCGAGGCCAGAGTAGTGTTAAATTTCACCTTAAAGGAAGGCATCTTTTTCTTCAGGTTCACCATGCACAACTGAAAGGCATTGTTATAATTCTTCAGTCAGAGTAGGGCTGGTGCTGAGGGGAAATGCCTGAAGGAGGGGACCTTTGAGCCTGAGGCTTTGGCTTCTCAAGAAGAGCATTGAAGGCAAGCAGTTGTGGGATTCTCTTTAGCCCTCAATTTATATGAAATGAATTGATCCTTACCTGCTGTTAACATCCACTGTCTGCCTAAAACCTCCAGTGTGATACCTCTCTGATCTTTCCCACTTGCTCAACCTCTGCCTTCATAAGCTCCAGGTTGACCTTCTTTTCACCACATCATCCTGCTCACTAATGGTTGCTCTGATGAGACCCCTGGGGCCTGTGTTACACACAGCTGCAGAAGCTGCCCTGAGGAACAAATATCGAGATAGAAGTCCTGGTAACATCTGCCCCTCATCTTCCCTACAGTGAACTGTCACGACAAAGTCTTCTCACACAAGGATATAACCACAACTCTTCTTGATTTCCCACTGAAACTAAAAAATGACATGTATGGACGTGAATGTGGTTTTGCTACATGACCTCCTATGATCTCCTCTTAAAGAAAAACGTGGATGATGAGGTGAGTGTGACGTTGTACTTGATGATTGATGAAAGAGTCAGCATTGCCCAGGAGATGCTGGGAGAGATAGTTCATGGTTCTCCTGAAAGATGGGTTTCTGGCACAGTGTTCATTCGTACCATCAAATCTCTAACAGTACCTCTTAAAAGCTGATAGTGCGTCTTCTGGACAGTCCACATTAGGCACATGTATAGAGGGTTCCATTTGTTATCTTTAACACGGCAAAGTCATCTTAAAGCATCCTGCATAAGATTTGTTGGACTATTTTTTGTTTGGTTTTGAATTCTCTGAGCCTCTTCTTAATTTGTGATATTTTCTAATAATATAACCTTATGTTTATAGAGTGAGAATTTTAGAAGAGTCTTAGGCTTTTCAGAGCCTATTACATCTTGGAAATTCATTAATCTTTTTATGATTGTATCATCAAACGTCTCCCATTAAGCCTTTGGATGAGCCTTGGTATGAATTAAATTGGTGGAGTCAAAACCAAAGGACTGTCAGGAGTGTTGACTACAAAACAGTGGAGTAACCAGAACCTGGGGAGGCACTGGAGGCAGAGAAGCTTACTAGAAGTAGACTGTAAAAGAGTTTGTTGTTGTTATGTGCTGTCGAGTCGTTTGCGACTCATAGCAACCCTATGTATAACAGCCCTAAACCCTGCTTTATCCCGTGCCAATCTGCACTGCCTCTGACACGCCCATCCTGATTACCCCAGTCACTGAATCAATCCACCTCATAGAGGGTCTTCCCCTCCTGTGCTGCCCCTCCTCCCTCCCAAGCCTGATGTCCTTCTCCAAGGACCACTCCCTCCTTACAAAATGTCCAAAGTATGTCAGATGAAGCCCCAGAATCCTTGCCTCCAAGGAGTAGCCTGGGTTAATCCTGCCAGGATAAATCTGTTCATTTTCTTGGATATCCATGGTACCCTCAACACTCTTCGGCACCACATCTCAAAGGCATCAGTTCTCTTTCTATCCGCCCTAGTCATTGTCCAACTCTCTGATGCATAACAAGTGATTGCAAAGGCCATGTCCTGTATAAGATGCACCTTAGTCTCCAGAGACACGCCGTTGCTCTTGAGTACTTTAGAGAGACCCCTAACAGCAGACTTTCCCATCGCAATACGTTTTTTTATTTCCTGGCTGCTGGTGCCAAGAGTGTTGAACGTGGAGACGAGCAAACTGAAGCTGTGAACAATCTCAATCTCTTTGCCATCCATCCTGATGCTGACGATTGGTCCAGTGGTGAGAATCTTTGTCTTCTTGACATTGAGCTTCAGTCCATACTGAAGTCTGCAGTCCTTGACCCTCTGTAGCAAGTGCATGAGGCCTTCCTGTTTCAGCAAGCAGGGTTGTGTCATCTGCATAACGCAGATTGTTGATAGATCTTCCACCAATCCTGATGCCACACTTCTCTTCATAGAGCCCATCCTCTCAGATAATCTGCTCTTTGTACAGGTTGAAAATGTATGGAGTTAGGGTACATCCCTTGCGTACACCCTTCCCAATTTTGAACCATGCGGTGTTACTCTGCTCTGTTCTGACACTGCCTCTTGGTCCAAGTATAGGTTTTGCATTAGCTCGAACACATGTTCTGGGATTCCCATTCTTAGAGTTAGCCACAGTTTGTTATGATTCACGTAGTCAAACACCTTTGCATAATCAATGAGACACAGATAGACATTCTTCTGGTATTCCCTACTTTCAGCTAACATCCATCTAACATTAGCTACAATGTCCCTAGTACCACGACCCCTTCTAAACCCAACCTGGACTTCTGGCAGTTCTCTGCTGATGTGCTGTTCCAGTCGTTTTTGGATAATCTTCAGTAGAATCTTGCTTGCATGTGAAAACAATG